TAATAATAAAAGAAATAACAAAGAATTTACATTTATTTATCAATATTGATATATAAAGTATTGAATAAAGAAGTTGACAAATTAAAATATTATCTTCGATATGAATCTTATTTTACATAGTTACTTTTGATATGTTCTATTCTAATATAATAACATTTTTAGACTCATATCGAGATTTAATCACAATTCAAGTTGTTAATATAGTGTTAATTAATTTGTGAATTGATCCCCCGAGTCTATCATAATTGGAAGTTCGATGACTCAAAAGGCTGATCAGAAGATTTTTGCTGTAGTTAACTGGCATTGGAGGAGGGTTGTGCGTTTTTCTGGGAGACGAATAGATGAAGAAATAGTTGACTGAAGGTAGCAAGTAAGAAGAAGTTTAATAGGGAAATACAGATGTGTACCAGTGTTGGAGTTAAGATCTTGGCCTAGGAGAGGCATAGCCACCTCCCCTACAGATCTTTGAGTTCTTGCTACCGAGATTTTTTTTTGAAAGATGTATGTTTTCCTCATACAAAAATGTATTAAACTTTGTAATAAAACGTTTTAACACATGTATCTTATTTTTGTGGAACTCATATGTGAAAAACATACAAATTCAACAAAATAGGATATGTGTTAAAACGTTTCATTGTAAACATTAATACATTTTTATATCAGAAAAAATACATCTTTCAAAGACCTAGTCAGAAGCGAGACTGAGCTCTCTCTAGTCCTCGAGATTCCGCCACTGATGTGTACGACGAAGAAAGAGTTAATGGGATGAGTATTTAGTGATGAAGATAAAGGTGTTGGTGTGGAATGTGAGGGTGGCAGTGGATGTGTTTGCAAGTGTGTGTAGGTATGAGTATGATTGGTTGAATAGGTGAAGAGAAGCATGACATTAGATACACATCGACATTTTCGTGGAGATCCTTACTGGCACCGTCGTGCACACTCACATTCATCTTCATACTTATTGGTATGCATACATTTGATATTAGTATCGATTGGGATTGTTAAGTAAGATATTATACGGGAAGAGTTGAATATTCAGTCGAGAATCAAATGAGTCGCACGGACGAGTGTCACTTGCGATTTTAATGGATATCGTGACAATGCGAACGAAACAAGAAGAAAAACAAATTTTGTTTTCATTGAAGTCACAATCAAACAGTAATTTTTATCCTTGTGAAATATAGTACACATCATTAACGATTGTTTCAAGTAAAAATAAAGGTTCTCATTATGCTTAATTCTCAACGACATGTATCCTACCTCATGATTACTGAAGTTATTGCTAGCTCTCCAATTCGAGTTCGCAAATCATGGAAAATTGAAGTACCTATTAGCAATTCAAAAATGAGCAAAGCAGTACAATACACATTTTTGGGTTTCTTCTGAAAGTGCTAATGTGATAAACAAGAGATATCAACAAGAAAAACAGTACATTAACAATGAACAAGCTAACGAAACAAAAACACACATAATGGAATTTTTTTAATTATTGTTGCCATCGGCTTTTTCTTCTTACGTTCGTATCTGTATAGTTAATGACAATGTGGAGATAGAATGTGTAAGTAAATGACTACTAAAAGGAAGTAAAGTTGCATTGTTCTTTTTTCGTTTCTTCCTTTTAATGTAATTGTATCTCATAAAGAGCTTTTTGTCACTGTCTTTCTATGTTATTTTATCGTGTTGACACGTTTGAATCACTAAAAATTCATTAAGAATCAATTCAACACTATTCATTACGTTACATTCATTTCATTTCTCTCCATGGTCATTGATTCGCAAACATCTAATATCATGAAGATCTATAGACTAAGTATGATTTGCATCATATTGAAAACATCATTAAAATCGAATGAATTTTCAAGAATCAGTTCTGTAGCACATTTACTTTTTTTTACTGTGACAAGAACATTTAAAAATTTGTCATAATGTAAATAGAGGTTTTTCGGAAGCTTTCCTATTCATCTGATCTCGATCGTAATCGAGTTGTATACGAGCATTGGTGTAAAGTATCAGTATACTACAAATGAAATTTTGCAATGATGTTTATTTCGAAAAAAATGAAACAATATAAAATATTTTCTCTCTGATAAATTTTGAATTCTTGTATTGTGCTCAGTCAACACATTAAAATAAAATGTATCATAGTCTATTGACTAATTACTCATTCATCGTTTTGTTGTACGCATGCATCGATATATAATCAAGGCGATGAAACATACTGAACTTTATCTTGATTTCTAGATTATTTTTCGATTTACCTTTAGTCAGGAACATATGGAGAGATTGATCAATGATCGACATTGGACCATTTCAAAGTGGTCTGGCTGGAATCAAATCGACTCGAGCTGATCGGATCTTATGATCTTACCATCTTGTACTCGAAGAGTAGGTATTCATAATTCAAATTAAACTGAAAACGTAGTGCTTATTCGGTTTTATGAGGTATGTTCAGATTTCCGAAAAAGGAAATTACAGAAATTTCCGAAGCTTCCATCAACTCGATAACTACATAGCAAAGCAAATGAAAATATTTTAGAAATTTTGGAATTTTCTGTAATTTCGGAAATTTCGCTACGTATAGAATTTTGGAAATTTCGGAAATTATATAATTTTGGAAAGTACCAAACAATTTAGAACACAAGTGCTTGAAATTTCCAAAACTTCCGAAATTTCCTTTTTCGGAAGTCTGAACACTGCTGGGTTTTATAGGAAAAAAAACAGGCGTGTCGAAACGTGGATTTGAACCACATTTTCAAAATGTCTCCCAAGTTAGTCGGAAAAAGTGTATCGCGACGAGCACCTCGTATGGGAAAATACGACACATACAACATATTTTTTATTAGTATGAATGCATACTGTTTGTGATTATATTGTAGCAAAAAAAAGAAAAAAGAAAAAACTGTTGATTTGTTTTTGAACAAAGAAAGTTTTCCAGATACATCCTGAAGTGCAAAGAGAAAACTTATTTGTTCTGGTTTGGGTGTGGATATTTACTTCACCAACACGCAAATCCATCCACACCCTTCTTCATCACTATTTCATAAGTCTTTATGAGAACTATCGATTGCTATGCAATCCAGAATGGGTTTATGGGTTGTAATAAATAAAAGTTTCTTTTTTATCATTTAAACATATACATAGCGATACTCAACATAATACTGTGTTGAGTATTTCTAAAACGAGACATAATCTTTCATTTCTTTTTCGTGGATTTCTTAGCATCATTGAGTAGGTCTCGTCCAGATCTATCGATTGATATGAAATGCGAAGTGAATTGCTACCATTAGAGAACAGCACTAGATGATATTCGTCGTGAGAGTTCATTAGTGATATGCGACTTAATCATATACTTATGTAAGGTAAGGAATAATCTTTTCTCATACGTCTACACGTCATGCGACAGAGAACTGAAATAGCTTAATTTTACATATAGATCAGCTGAATATGTAACCAAATGAGTATAGTATTTTCCACGAAAACATCCTACAACATAACCTTTTCGAACACATAAAATATAGAATAATTTCGGCTAGCTCAGTCACTTGATATACAATACAGAATGCTTTAAAAGGTCTGATTTTATTAGTTAGAGACTTCTGATAGTCAAAATGACAAAACAGGTAACATATAAGACCCCCTTCTTTTTTGTAGACTTTGTTATTTTTCCAATTTCAAGATAATTGAAATGAAGACAACATTTTTCTTGTTTATGACTAAGATAATTGTGAAAAAAGTTAATTATAGATAATGGATCATATAGACAATTCATTGATCAACCGACATGGTTCATTAGAACCATGCTGATGCGCGTTGATAGAATTCTCATAGTGATGAATTTTACCATGTCTGTTTTTCAATTTCTTTTGCTACCTCGATCAGTTGGTTAATCGAAACATTTTTTTTTTGAGATATCGATTTTTTCGATAATCGATATTCGTAGCTTCGTACCACATTTCGCAATCGAGTGAAGCTCAAGTACCATCTAGATTTTTTATAGTAAAGTAAAGAAAAGATCCAATAAGAAGAGGTCAACCTTACTTGATTTGATTTGAAAAGATTTTTGTTTTGAGTGGCTTTGCTCTTCTGTATTTTACTATAGCAAATCCATATAATAAACTATTTTCGTTGTCATCTTTTACTTGTCAGAGAAAAAAAGCCATCTAAGCTATGTCAAGAATACTCAACTACTCTATCTATTACATAGTAAGTCCCAAAATTATTCAACAAGATTTATTTTCAATTTTTTTTCGCTGCTATAAGTATTTGAAAGAATCTAAATAGTGATTCAGACTCTAGAAAACCACAAGGCTACTTTTTTAGATCCTAGAACATGTAAATATAATTTTGTTTAGACAACATAGAACCATAGAGTAAACCGTCTTCTACAAAATAAGATATCGCGAAGTTCTCTGCGATTTTTTTAGCTGAGATATAACAATTTGATTGAAAGTCAAAAAAAAAAGTTTTTCTATAAGAAATTGGAAAAAACAACCGACTTTAGGGGCTTCCGTAAGGTTGCTGTATCTCAGATAAAAAGCGTCGCGAAGAACTCGACGATATCTCATTTTGTAGAGAATTGTTTGCTCTCTTGTTCCATATCACCGAAACAAGATTATATATGCCTGTTCTAGATTCTGAAAAACTAGTCTTGTGGTTTTCTGGAGTCTGAATCACTATTTAGATTCTTTCTAACGCTTACAGCAGCAGAAAATAAACCTTGTTGAATAATTTTAGTATTCACTGTATTTCAGTAAAATTTATTGAAATTTTGAAAAAACAACATACGGAAGCATATTAAATATTTGATACAAAACAAAAAAAAAATTAACTCGAAAGAAGAAACAAATACAATGCATAAATATAAACAATAAAAGATAGAAGTCTTTTTGTTTTTTTGTTTTTAATCCTTGTCATTGTGTAATAGATAACAAAATATCTGACATAAATATACATTTTGTTTAACTCAAAACTCAATTTAAATTACTAAAAATATTTTATTTTTATGCATAAGGATTAATTTTTTGTCGTGGTTTAATCTTTTCTGATTGTATCCATTGTGCTTCTTCATTCATATAATCATCAAAATTATTAAAAAAATATAAAATACGATCATTACGAACAAATTTATATTCCCTAAAGAAAAAAAAAATCATCAATCAACAAAAAAAAAAAAATGAAATCTTCTTTCAAACCATTTTCGACAATAACGAAGTTTATGTAATATTGTAAATTGTTGCCATCGTTTCCAAAAATTAATTATTCGATCATCTTGTAAATTATCTGAATTACCAATATGAACAAAAGTTAAATCAGATAAAATTAAACCACTTAGAAAAAAAAAAGAGAAAAATAAACTTAACAATCATTTTAAATAATTGTTTTATCTATGACTTACATATAAGGAATACATGGTTGACCAACTGATGCATTTAATGCTTCACGATAATTTTTAAATGAACCAGTACTATCAATAAGTCCAGTATGTTCAGAAATGGCCTAGAATAACTTTTCGAATACATAAATAAATAAATAAATAAATAATTGAAGTCTTACATCGGTTATATTTTTTGACCAAGTTAATCGTTTTAATGGTCCACAATCAAGTGCCGAAAGTATAGCCAAATAAGAATTAAAATTATTTAATCGTCGTAAATGCTATTTGACAAAATAAAAATATAAAATTTTTATATTTCTTGAAAATCAAAAAAAAGTACAATAAAAATAAAAGAAATTTACTTTTAAAATTTTAAGAAATTTTTCAAAATAATTTTCACGTTGTCGTTGAGAATTTCGTTCGAGTATACGAGATCGTACCCTATATAAGTAAGAAAACAAAAAAAATATTTTCTTTTATAAATTTCATATGATATAATTACCAATAAGATATATTATTAAAATGTTCAGTAAATGCTGCTAAATTTGGTGAATATTCTTCGCCTTTTTCAATAGACATATATAAAATTTCAGATAATTGAATTTTAAGAAATAATTCTGAATCAAGTAATGTTAATTGTTCACTTATATCAATTGAATGAAAATCAAGTAATATTGCTCGTTTTGATGAAATTGAATTTTGAATAAGAACAACATCTTGTTGTAATTGTTCAGATTTTGATTGTAATTTAGCATAACTTTCAAGTGATTTTCGTCTTAATAATTTACCTAATTGAAGTTCACCACGACGAATTAAAGTTGCAACAAAATGTGAAATTTTTTTAATTAGATTTTCAGATAATTCATTACTAAAAAAAAAGAAAAAGTTATCAACAAGTAAGTGTTTAATGATTGATTATCAACTGATAAGAGACTTATCGAAAGTGATTTATTACTAATTAGCTCACAGTTTAAGCATATAGACATCATTGGCGGATTTTAGAAGGAGGCAATGAGCCCTACCCATGTTTTGTAACCGTGATCGCTCTCCTTGCTCAAAATCATAGATCCGTCATTGAGAGAGAGAACCTCTAGACTAGAATAATCCTAAAGGGATTCTGATATATAGACTTTCTCTACTGAAAGTAATGATAGTTTTGTTGATTTTTTTACCTCTCAGAATAGCTCATAAGTTTCAGTCGAAACGATTGCTTCCTCCTTGAAGTATTCAACGTTTAAAAATTCTCGATTTTTCTGACTATTTCTCAAATTTAATTAACCTTTGAACATTGAATATATCAAAAGAGGAAGCATTTGCTTGAACTGAAAGAGTTATCATATTCTGAAAATGATTAAATCTACTTATAGGCAACCCGATAGTAGAAATCTAGCGAAACTATCGTAATAGCTAACTTGTCAGTAAGTGGATATCAGAGAGTATGGGTGGATTTTGGACTTGAATCCGAACCTCACCGAGTATGAATTTGAAAATTTCGGATTCCACGAGCTTTAAGTGTCTGAGAAATGTGTAAGGTGCGTTAGTCACCTAATACAAAATCGGAAAAAAATATCTCGTATCTTCTGCAAGATTGTCCGATGCCGATTAGAAAATTTCATTGAAATTATCAAAGTACGGTTCGACCGGATCTAGATTCCAAAACTTTGAAGCCGACGGCCTCTAATAGGTATTGAACTGATACTTATCTAACTTATAAATCCGTGGAAAATAGATTCGCGCAGGCTTTCTTCTAAAAAATTTAATCATTTTTCTGAAATGCTTTAGTCGAAAAATGTTTTATTACAATATTAAAATTTACTTTGGAGTTTTTAAGGGATTTATCTCTACCAATAATACAAAGCTAGATACTATTCTCGTCACTTGAAAAGTTTAAAGATTTTCATGTAAATTTTACGAAACGATACAAAATATTATTTCTAAATTTATTAGATTTATCTAATTCAACTTTTGAAAAATGTAAAAATTTCATACTCGATTTCATCGATAACACGCATAAGAAGTGAAAATGCATATCGAGCAATCTTTTTCTTATTTTCAAATTTAGCAAAGTATGTATAACGTTGAATAAGTTTTTCAACAAGATCACTCGGAGAAATAAATGTACGATATGTAGTTAAAAATGCTTCTTGATAGAGAAAATCTAAATAAATGAAAAATCATAATGTGACATAAAGATAGATCGATAATATTTGATAGAGTACCTTTTTTATCAGGTGATGTTGCTCGAATAATCAATGCATCAATAGAACCACCACGTAATGGAGGATCTTCGCTCTATAAAAGAAATATTTAAAAAGAACATCATCACAAAATTTCTTTACCAGATTAAAAACAAGTAAATGAGATATATTTTCAAGAAATAAATCATTCGTATATTGATTTTTTTCATTATTAATATTATCATCATGTATATTTAAACGATCTATTGAAATATTATCTTTAGACTAAAGTCAAAAAAAAAATAAATATATATATATATATCAGGATTTTTTGATTTAGAAAAAAAAAATCAATTTTTTTTTACAGATTTATAATGAACACTTTTCATTATTTCTTCTTTATTTTTCAAACATTCATCACTATTTGAAAATATTTGTGCATGTGAAAAATGTTGATGAATTTGTTCAAAAAAATCTTCAAAACGATGTTGTGATGTAGAAATAAAACATGTATCACGAAGAAATAATTCTGCTTCATTTTGATCATATCGATCGAATAGAGACATATATGCTCGAGCTAAAAATTCAATAAAAAAAAAAAAACATTTTAAAAGCCTCAATTATATGTCTATCGAGGTCTTGTATTTGACTCATTCGTAATTAGATAATAACAAAAACATTCATATTTAGTTAGTATTCTATTCGAAAATAATAATAGTGTTTGACTGTGACGTCAATAATTATTTAGTAGTTTATGCATAGCTATCGAAATTATTTGACAGAACTTCTTCTTCCGCTTCCGACTTCACACTGTCGTTATAATTTTCTTTTTTTGCGCTGTTATGTTTCCTGTTGTGTTCCATCAACAAATAAAATTACCTATATGTCGTTTTGGTGGTAATGGTGGTGGATCAGTTGTTGTATTTATCTTTCGATATGCCTGATTGTCAACAAATATATTCTGTTGACTTAAAGAATTTTTTTCAAGTGAATATTTTGTTTCATATAAAACATCAATACTATTATGACGACATGATGATATAGATGATTGATTTTGTTGAGATAGATAATTGATTGATGGTGAACGAAATGTTGTTTTTGAACGTAAAGCATCATCAAGTTCACGAGTATATTTTTCAACAATTTGATTAATATCATCAACAATTAATTGAATACATTCATCATTATTTTGTTCTTGTGATGATGAAAATAGGAAAGAATTTGAATTTGTTGTATTTCGAGATTGATTAGATAGGATTGAAGCTGATGAACTCACTGAACGTTTTTCTCGTTTGAAAGGAAGAGTTGGAAGGAAATTGTCGATAGAACTAAAATAGAAAATCGATTAAAGAACAGATTATCTTTTATTATTTACTTGTTGATTGATTGAATACTTTGATATGAATCAGAACGTGTTTGTATTGCTGAAGTAATGCAAATCTACAAAATAAATAAATTCATTTTCAAAGAATTTTTAATCATTTTTCATATGTTACTTGAACAGCTTGTAGAAGATCTTTTGCAATTTTTCTATATATATTATCAGTATTTGTTTTTGAAAAAACAAATTTATCAGACCATTCAATTAAATCAGCTAATAAAGAATAAACATCAGTAAGAAGATTTGTTCTACAAGAAAAAAAAAAAGATATTTCAAATAAAAACAACAAAAAAAAAAGAATTCATGAAATAATTTCATACCGAAATGATTCTGGTTGATGTTCAAATATTCCTTTTAATATAGAATCAATATCAAAAATATTTTCAATTAATGATGTTACTATATTTGCTAATATTTCAAGTTTATTATGTGTTAAAACTTGATCAAGATAACTTAATGATTTATAAACTTCTTTTTCACATTTATGTAATCGTTCATAAAATGTTTGAGATGTCTATTAAAAAAAGAAAATAAATAAATCATTGTTTATATTATCTTAACATACCGATAATGAATCATTGCTAATCATAGAATTTCGATCACTTTTTTGACTTGATCGACTACTATTTCTAAAATATCTATTTGTTGAATCATTTTTAATATTATGACGATTAACAATATCACCAATAACACGACGAAATGAATGTCGAGAAACAGGCATTGTTATCTACTTTGATAACTAAAAAAATTTTTTTTTATTATTTTATAACTATTAATTTATAAAACCGAATTACTTATTTAATCTCGAATAGGTTCGAATGATGCTGATAGAAATGTATAGAATTATAGTCAATGCTCATATAAGCAGGTCAATGACGTGAGTTAGTTCTAGCTCTAGAACAAAAAATAACATTGCTTCTCGCCAATACCGATCAATCATCATCATCGTAGTCGTCGTCGGCTTTTCTTTCGTCGTATACTATAGAGTAATGGTAGTAGTGCACACGACCGGTCGTTGAACGGAATCATTGTCTGGCATCTATCATTATCTAGGGAAGTTGATAGAGAGAAACAGAATGAAAAAAAAGGGAAAAGAAGAATAGTGTAACATATTTTCCATCTGTTATGATGTGCAAGAAGCAATAAATAAAACTGCGTAGTATTGCTATTCAATCTATTAGATGAATAGAAAAATGACGCGATGACAGGTTTTTCTTACTCAAAATGGGATATTCTCTTGTCTACCTATTAAGAATAATGACAGATCTTATTCTTGATGGGATATTATTGATAGAATAATATTGACTGACAATCAAAAGTAGCATGTCAATATATGATCATTACAATATAGGTTTTTTTTGTTATAGAATCAAATAAAAAAGACAGGAAGGAAGCGTGATGTGTCATTGATTTAATTGATTTGAAAATTTTAGCCACGCATGATACATATCTCTTTGTTCGTGACATCATAGAACATAATTGAATTATAGACAGATTCAATTAGATGAATATAAATTACTTTGAATGAAAAACAGTTTGTCAGTTCTACGAATCAAAATAAATTTACTATAAAGTAATACATGAATGTAAATTTATTGGAATAAACATTGTTGTAATTATTACATTTAGTATAAATATTTTATTTTTATTTTTTTGAATGAATTAATTTGATAGAAGAGTAGATTCAAAAGATCCAAATTAGGAAAGTTAATGTGTTGTCAGCAATCAAATTATACTGGTTTTTATCGCTTTCTTTACATAATTGTTCATAGCTGTCATTAGACTCATTTATTTGATATATGATTCATGAGAACATGTTGAAATATCAATGTATTTGTAAAATAGCTATTATATTAATATGCGAATAAAGCAAAAAAAAAAGAGGTATTAAGAGTTTTATTTTAAAATCAATTGAAAAATCTAAATAAACATCAACTTAGAAATAATATGAAGATAAATCAACAATACTAATTTTCTTATTAGAAAAAAAGTTCTTATCTTCCTCTCCGAACTCTCGTACCTTGCTTTCTCTTTCAACCTTTTTTTACTACTATTTTTTTCCAAATGTATTCACTCGTACCTTCATTTTCATTATGAACAAACATTAAAAGAAAAAAACTTAACGCACAATCACTAGACATTTAGTTTTCTTTATATGCGTTCTAATTTTTCTAAAAAATATAGATATTCACTCATATACATAAATGTACAAAAAATAGATAGAATTCGATCACAATGATATTGTTGGGCCTGTATATTGAAGTGATTCTGTATAATATTCATCATCAAATATTCTTTTTAAAACATAATTTCTTTCATTTTCATTTATATCTGTTGTCGATTGTGACGAGGATGATGATGATGATGATGATGATGATGATAATGATGATGGTTTAGCAATATAACATGTACAATCATTTTCATTTGAATATGGTGGACTAAGAATATCCAAAAAAGCACAATGATCATTATTAGTTGCATATATTTCATGAATATTTAATTTATTCGGATAGAGTACGGCGGTTTCTGATTGTGAATTAATTGATGTTGATATATGTTTACTACAAATAAGTTCGTTTTCATTTTTTTCAAATAAAATATTATAAGCATTTAAATGACCATGACCATCAAGAACTTTAATTAAACCAAACATATGTGGATGATCATGTAATGGCATACGATGATGTGATTTAATAATAAATATTCCCACTGATATAATATTATCTTCATATAATTTCATATAAAAAACAGGTGCATTTGAATTTATAAATTTGTCTAAATTTTTTTGATCAATTGAATTTAATGATTGAGAATTTTTCATATTATCAAATAATGTAAAATTTAAATCATATTTTGTTATACGATTCATTAAACGTCGAAGTGAATCAATACAATCATTTGGATCATTATTTGATGATATTAGTGAAAATGTTTGTTTAGCTTGTTTTATTAATGTTAATATACGTGGTGATGATGATTGCATATCTGAAATAATTATCATATGAGAAACGTTTAGAAGATCTTTATTTTGTTTTTATTAGAAAAAAAGAAAAAAAATGAACAGCACTAATCAGTATATACAGAACAAAAAAAAATGTTCGAATATTTTTTTTTTAATGACGATGAGAACGATATTTTGATTCAATTTGTTCAAGTAAAAGATCAATTGGTAATGAACATGGTACACTCGAAAGTATTGATTGATGAAATAAATTTAATTTTCTTGCAAAATTTTCATCATTATCATTTATTAGAGTTGAAATATTTGAGCAAATTAAAGCATAATTAAGGACGGATAAAAGTCTTCGACTTATATCGATAAGACTGATTCTAAATAAGATAAAAAAAAATTATTATCAATGAATGTTAGATAAAAAAAAAAAAGATCGATTACTTTTTGAAATATTTATCCGCAATAACATCTGCTAATTGATCACATAATCGATGAACTTGAGAAAGAATATTTGCATGAATACGATTTGAAAGTGTCGTCTACAAATAGAATTATTCATCATTTATCGAAATGATATATCTTCTATCATGTTTATTATTAGGTCTAAAGGTTCAACATATAGGTCAAGTGATATACTATGTTCAAAACAAAGAGAGAAATAGAGAAATGGGGCTAGAGACGTGCGAGATTAACTTTACTCTCGATCCTGGTCGTCAGACTTGGAACTAGGATCACGAAAAAAAATTTGTCTAAACCAGAACTAAAGGTTATAGTTAAATACTCTGTAGTTTTTAGCGAGTTATCTTATAAACCCTATCAAACAGAACACTATTCAAGAAAGATAACCCAAAAAACTGTTAGTCCTCTACTAATGAGGGAACTGGCCAAATTTATACCTACCATTTAAGCTCATATTGGATTCACAAGGAGTTTGCGGCAAATTCTAAAAGAACTTGTGCCCATGAACCTCTTGACTCGAATTATGACCGTTTAACTGAATTTTCGATTTAACTGTAGATATTTACTGAAAAACCAAATAATGGAATTTCAACCTGAAATTTCGTCCATATGATAAGTCTGGAAATATCCTGAAAGTTTCATCCGAAAAAAATGATTCTTTATCGAGATATTGAATTTTCAAGTAAACTCAATTTTTGTGGCAAAGGCCCATTTTTTAGAAATTCAATATCTCGACAAAGGGACATTCTTTTCAATTGAGACTTTCAGGATATTCCCAGGCTCATCATACGGGCAAAACTTCAGGCTCAAATTCCATTATTTTTTGTATTCGGTGAACATCTAAAGCTGAATTGAAAATTCAGCGAAACGATCATAGCTTGGCTCCAGAGATTCATAGGCACGAATCCTTTTTGAATTTTTCTAGTCTTGCCGAAACTTCCTTGTGAACTCAATATGAGCTCAAATGGCAGCTATCAATTTGGCTAGTTCTACTGTAAATAAAGCAAAAATCAGTATTGACAAATATTTTTAGATGTAATATGAATAAATTCTGGAATAGTCTCCTCGAAACTGGACCACTAGAAAAGAAGTTATCGAGATCAGAACTAAAAAGACTTGGTCACACACATCTCTAAGTGTCATTCTTGCGATCATGAAATACTGTCTGTTTTCTCTTTGACGTAAATATCGAGATGACAAGTTAAATTTATTAAAACAAATGTTGGCTCTTTCATTTGAGAATGAAACTATTACCTGTTATCTATAGAAACTATCAACTGTGAACAACCTCTGTCGGAAGAAAATGCCCACATAAGAATAAAAAATGAGAAATAGAATGGCGTAGCTTTAATCCAAGAAAAATAGTCCATCATCAGTTTTGTTGCAATATGTGAAGACTAGACATATGCGAATGAGGTTCAACAGTTCAAAGCGATATTTTTTCGACATCGAAACCACGAGACAAGATGTTAGCGGAATCCAACAAACTTGATCTTAATAGTTCTCTTTTTATCATATTTGTTATTTTAACTTTAAAGTAATGATCTCCCTATACGATATTTATTGTGGTCAAGTTTTCTTATTCTATTGAATTTCTGATTGAAGAATGATGGCGTCTAGTCATAATTCACGAGGTATGATTTTAGTGTACTTTTGAAATAAAATAATAGTAGAAGGAGAAATGACAGTGCTAATTTTGAAAAGATCATTTCGATGATTTACGCTAACTATAGTATCATGAGTCTTAATTTAAAATTTATTCATGTATATTTTACATACTTGTCCATGTCTAATTTTGTCAAAAATAATCAATAAATCAATATATTGTCTTGCAAAACCACCGCGTCTACTCCAATGTGCAATATGCGCTCGTTGATGATCTAATACATCTAATACATCTTTTGCAAATTCATAATCTCCTAAGAAAAAAATACGATTAACTGTGTATATAAATAAGAACAAACAAAGACTAATAAAACCTTTTAAAAGTGTATCATGAAAAACATAATAGCAATAAGTATCATGTGCTTTTCTCCACTGTTTTGCATCAATCCAAAGACGAACAGCATTCATCCATTGTTTATCATATTCAGCTCGTTGTGCTTTAGTTGATAAAATCATATTTATTGGAATATTATATTTATCAACTAGTGTTTGTTCATCTTGTGTTAAATCTATATTTGATGTTACATGACGATGAAGAAATTCATTAACTATTCTTCTTCGACTAGAAGAAAAAAAAACACAATAAAATTTTCTTTTTTTTCCGAAAAACAAAATATCAATTTATCTACTTCGTTGGTTCATTA